TAATAATTTAAGTGATGGTAACTATCAATATCCATAGCCTAAAAGGTAAGTTAAAGACAAAGGAAAGGCAGACTAAATTAATTTGTAGCCCACATACTTTATGTTTAAATCCACAATTTTTAACATTAGAAATATTAGTTTGGCCTTATTTGGTCTGTTTAAGATATTCCTCATCATGTAAAAGGATAAGAATCCTGGTATAACCATTATCAACTAGGACTATAGTATCTCCAAGAAAAAAGGATTGATTCTTTGGGATGGTGTTGGCCAGGGGGGAGATGAAACTGTATGTATTATAATGGCTTGTGGCCTGCACATGCCCAGTGCAAGTGAATGGATATATGCAGAGTCTGTGGTATGAAACTCTCATATGGGGCTCCGTGGTGTGAGGGAAACCACCAGAAAAGGCATCCAGTGTGGGGGTGACAGTGAGATATAGACCAGCAAACACTGGGCCATAGGGAAAAACAGAACCGCGTGGCATGTTTCACCCTGTAAAAATTTCTATTTAATGAAGAACTATATGTTTACATAAATCCACTAATTCTGTCTGCATTTATTCAGGGACCACAGCACGGTACATACTGAGATTATAACTTTGAAATACATAGCAAATATCCCCATTTCTTTGGGGCTTACAATTTAGTAGAAAATATAAACAATTAATGCATAAACTATATATGCTTTGTAATATCAGACACATATAAGGACTATAAAAAAGAATGTGATAAAAATTAAAAATAAAGACTCTGATTTCATGTTTACTTAATTAAAGTATACCAACTGCATGGTTTCTATGTGAACTGGATGATTTTTAGGTTTCTTTGCTTTAATAAATCTTAAAATCTAGTAGAAAGTAGAGACATTAAAAACTTAAACATTCACACTGCGAGGCTGGTGTTTGTCCTCCACTATTTTCTTTCCCTCCTTTCTTGCCACTGGACTAAGCTTGTCAACAAGCTTCACTACATTTCCCATCTTTCTCTTGGCTCGAAGTGGCCACAGTTCTGCTTTGCCCAGAGCACTGCAGTCCGCTGTGAACCTCCCTGCCTCCTTCCCCTTCCCTTCCTCCTGCCTGCTGAGATATTAGTAGAAATTGGAACTGTATTGAATTCAAGGAAAAAAACCTATGTGGTAAGATCACAGGGCTTCTACTTGAGGTGAACCCCGTTCACCCCTGGACAGTTTTGAGAGTGAGAAATCCCACCCTGCCTAATGTAAACTGTTGAATCTCGGGGCCAAGGTTTTGTTAGTGTTTACTCTTTAACATCAGGTTGTCCTGTACCTTAATTCACATAATCACACAGCTGTAAGTCTTCGTAAATGTTATGAAGAACAGAATTTGGTGCTTGAGTAAAGAAGTCCCAGGAGAAAATTATAAAGATGAGGTAGTTGATGAGAGCCACTCTGGGAAAGGAGTTTTAAGCTTGCTTGGAAGGGAGTTAGGGGGATATGGGAGGAGGTGTGGAGAGCTCAGGGAGAAGTGATCAGGAGCATTTTTGAAATCTCTGAAAGTCTAATAGGGTGGCACTTAAAATAATGTGCCAGTCAGGTGAGGAACAGGCTGGAGACAAATCACACACCTTGCATAAGGATTTCGCATTTGTTCAGAGTGACAAGGGCAAGCAGAGGAATGACAAGACTCTATTACCATTTTATAAGGTATAAACTAGAAAATACAATGTTATAGTTCTCTGGCTTTTGAACTATAAAATGTGCATTACTTGGAACCGAAGTGGAAGCAAGATCACTTAAGAGAATTTTTCAATTTAAATCAGAAATGATGATAACTTTGGAAAAAAAAAATTTGTAACAAATGATGTGTAAGGAGGCACATTTCAGGGCCTTGATTCTCTTAAAATACTATGAAATATATTAGAAGACTCATCAAAAAACATGAATTTATGCTTCTCTTTTGGTCCCTCATAAATGTTATATCCACCTGCACTTACTGACTTCTTTTAGGTTCTTACCTGAAATTATCAGTATGATACTATCTCATTGCTATGCTAATTTACATTAAATTAGCTCCTGTTTATTTATTTATTTATTTTTGGTTTTGTTTTTTTTCCAGTACCAGGAATCGAACTCACGACCTTGCGCTTGTCAGGCAGGCGCTGTGCCACTGAGCTAAATCCCCAGCCCCCAAATAAGCTTCTGAATGTGTCCAATTGTTCCCAATCAACTGACTCTTCAAGACATTAGGCAGTGTTTCTAAGAATCCCCCACTGCAGATTACCCAACATCTGCTGAAAGCATGTGCTAATGAAAGTGTTGTACATCCCATAACAATCAAAAGAGAAAAATAGTTCTTTATTTATACTTATGTTGTAGTTCTCCCTGTATTGTTTTTATAATGTAAGTCATATAGTAGAGTGCATTCTCAGAAAATTTGTCCAGAATTTTTGGACAAAGTGTTCCATGAATGTTACACTCCACTTAAAAGTCTTCCAGGAATGATATCTAAAGGTTTCCATCCTCTTTCTGCAAATCAATTGTTTGGAGATCCTAAACTGTCAAATTCAGAGTATCACAATAAAAGAGAATATTTTCTATAGTTCACCAATCTCATTAACATGATCAGTCAGCTGAGAAAACCATCACACCAGCAAGTCAATTTTTAGTGTTATTTAAGGTACTTTCAGATTAATGTCTTTAATAACACAGGCACACTGACACTGATCTTGAGGGAAAGGTAATAAAGAATCGTAATTGAAGAAGAATAGTCCTATCACTTTCCCCTCTCTAGTCTACATATGATAAATTTAACCACAAATATGAGCAGCGAAATTAATGGAACATTTCGGTTCCTTAATTTGCAAGCTAAGCAAAAGTTTCCCTCAAAACTTTTAGAGAAATATATATATATATTCCTAACAATAATGAAACTATTTTTGTAAATGTACTTCCAATGTTTAAGCCTATCATTTGTGAAGCAAATTTAAATGTCTACTATGAAATACTAAATTCACAAAGATTGATCTTAAATATAAGTACTTTGGAGATATGAACTGTTAGTTCACAGTTTTCTATTAGCTCTCCAGTGAATGCCTGCTTGGTTACCATTTCCATACTGATCGAAGTGGGTTAGGTTAGTAAGCAAGTACATCGAATAATGTTAAATGTGTTAACATGCAAGAAATCCTGAGTTTACAGTTTTGGCACAAGGGCAATTATCATAGCCCGAAGTAGAAACCAAATAAGCCAATGTGATCATCCAGTGGTCGTGTCTCATCTCTGTGTGCTTCATAGTGTATATGTTAATATAGCAAAATTTACATAGTTAATAAACTTAACTGGGATTAAGGAAAGGAAGAAGAAAGAAAGAAAGAAAGAAAGAAAGAAAGAAAGAAAGAAAGAAAGAAAGAAAGAAAGAAAAAAGAAGGAAAGAAAGAAAAAAGAAAGAAAGAAAAAGAAACAAAGAAAGAAAGAAAGAAGAAAGAGAAAGAAAGAAAGAAAGAAAGAAAAAGAAAGAAAGAAAGAAAGAAAGAAAGAAAGAAAGAAAAAGAAAGAAAGAGAAATATATATACACAAGATAACTAGGATAATTTTACTGCTTATTTCTACTAGTCTGTTTCACGGAACAGTTAATGTTTAAATTTTTTCTTCTTTTTAATTTTTAGATCAATTTTGCAGGCTTTTATCTGGTAATCTAAACAACTAATCTGAAGACAACATTATGCAGTATACCAACATAGTTGAATTCCTGTCATCTTGTTTAGTGAAACTCTGCATCATTTCTAATACTTTTTATTTTTATTCTCCTTAAAATAAAATGCGTTCACTCACTTTTCAAGTGAATGCATGAAATAATGTATTACAATTTCATGAGATAATGATAAAGAAATGCTACCACAGAAAAACAAAATATGGTTGTATAAATTTAAAAAATCAATCTCCACTGAAATCCTCTAATAACTTTTGAATATTTTTTCTCACTTAGAATTTTATATGGTTTATCTGGTATGTTTGTTCTTTACATCTATGTTTATGATCCTATATTCCAAACAACACTTTGTACTTTTGAGAATAATACATTTATTCTAGTTTTCTGCATTAGGCAAACATGTGGAAGTTTTCATTCACCATTTATTAACTATATATAAGTCAGAATGCTCTGGTATACTGCTGTGAAATGAACTAGATTCTTGGTCTTTCCCAAAAATAGAGGTCTGGTTCCAGATCACACTGTGAGATTGCTTCAGGTAATCTGTGAATTTGTTCCACGTAGATCTTGCAACAGATGGAAGTTGTGCACAGAAACTTTCTGCAAGTTCTTCAACTCTTTAGTCATAAGTATATGTGTCATATTCCACTGGTTTAGTCAAGGTAAAAGGCCAAATATGGCTTCAAGATGGCTAGGAAGTACAATCTACCTATACCTGGGGACATAATTAGAAAAATAAGAATTTGACAAAAAAATAATATAACCTACCAAATTATACAAACTGAAAAAAATCATTTAAATCTTCCACTTTTCAGAACAGGAAGTGCAAGCAATGCCAAATGTGAAGCATCTGTCACAACAGCTGGACTAATGTAGATGCTCAGTGATGTTATTTTACCTTTAAAACTTTCTGTTCGAAATACTTCACTTCTCATGTGAAAGATGAAAGAAATTGTTCTTGAGAAAAATAATGATTAAATTATGTTCATTTCATACACTGACTCCCATACACAAGAGTAACTCACACTCCTTAGTTGTTGCTATCAATCATACCCAATAGCAAGGATAATTTTTAAATTGTCTTGTTTATGCTTTTGTTTCTAGTAGAATATATCTTGTAGTCAAGTATATTTCACTAACAATCATACATGTAAACGAAACATATTTTGTTCCACTGCTAGGAAATATAATTAGAAAGGATAAAAATAAATATGTGAGTTTAGTAATGGTTGGATAGGATACAGCATATAGTCAAGCTCAGCAATGAATTCTTATTAAAGAGCTTCCTTCTTTGTAACTCCTAGGAAATATACCATAAGAAAGCCAAAAGATGAAAAGTTAATGATTTATTCTTCTGCTCCTCTCCCCATTGGTTAATTATTTTTTCAAACAAATATTAGTTCTCCTGGGCGTCCACGGTGTCCCATGTGATTCATTCAGATCCTGGAATCTTATGAATCAGCAGCAGTAGTGACACTTCCGTGAGGGAGGTGGAATCACAGACAAGGGCTGAAGGTGCAGTGCCCCTGGGTTTTCCTGTTGAAGTTGCTCCTTGTGGGGGCACTCACAGAAGGTTGTTGTTGTGGTAGCTTTTGTAGAACAATGGCCATAGACTCAGTGACAAATGATGCCGCAAAGATATGAAATAGCACAGATAAAATGTCGATATATTTTGTTTTCCATGAACAGTTCCTGAAAGGTGAAAGTGGGTACTATTAATGACACCAGAAGAACCAGCACTAGCAAATGCTAAGGCAAACCAATCAGTGTTATCTTTCACTGCATAAGGTGTTTTTATTTTAAAAATCCCTTGCACAAATATGGAAGAAGGCCTGTATAAATACAAAAGTGAACATTTTGAAAATGGACAATTTTATGAGGACAAAATGTTACAAAATAGGAACTTCCCTGAAGATGTACAATCTAAGGGTCTGACAATATATAAGGTCGTACAAACTTGCCTAAGGTAGTGGTGATTACTCAGACTTCTGCTTTAACCTACCCAAAATTATCAGAAATCCAGTTAAACACTATATTTAGAACTCAAAACTGATGAACAAAATAAGAATATGTGCAATTAATTTCTGGCTTTGCTTTGACTTTTAATAATCTAGATGTGTTAATAGGATAGGGCCCTGCAGCTGTGTAACAACTGAATCAAAACTCCAAATCCTAAAAAGTCACTTTCCCTTTGCACGTGCTTATCTTTCTCATACTAAAAACATTTCTATTTCTCCCTGCAAACTACTTTTCTGTTTGAAACCCAAGATCGCCAAATCACTTAATAAAACACTTAAAATTAGGATAATTTGTTGTATAGGTTAATAATATAAAATTATTACATGGTTCTTATTGGTAAATATAATTTTTGACATAAGAAAACTTATTTCAAAGGTAATCAATAGGACTAATTTTGTTCCCCACACTGTCATTAATACTGAGACAACACAGAAGTCTGTTAAAATCTTTGGACATCAGTGTCTTTTAATTCAAGCAAAGATTTATAATAACACAGTCTGTGGTATCCAGAATCATAGTTTTAAATAAGGAAAGTCATCATTTACGGGCAATCATTTAATTTGTAATTTTTTATACATTTAAATGCTGTTTTGAAACTAGTTTTTTAGGGATTTTTTTGTTTTCATAATTTGGTGTCTAAAAACTCTTATATTGAGAAAATATCTCTCTAGTTACAAAATAGTGAACCAGAATGTAGCCAATAAAATACTTAATGCTATGAAAAATTGACTTTGCAATGCTCAAAGTACAAACTGAAGTACTCCCCTTACATCTTTTCATTGGAGCAAACATACATGGTCACGTGGATGAAGGAAATCAATTAGAAGTGAGAAAATTACACTAAAATTATTATAAGAATTAAGGTTATTGATCACTGTCACCTCAACAGAGGAGAAGAAAAGAGTTCAGCATATTTTAAAGACAACGGAAACAAAGAATCTGAGGAGAGTTTCTTAGGTCAGCTCTGCAGCGTGAGAGGGAGTCATGTAGAGCAACTAGCATTTAAATTCATGTATAAATGTATATTTCAACATAGAAAAGCACATCTTCTTTCAGAAGGATTAAAACATTCGTCAAATAACAGAGACCTCAAATTATTCTCCATTTAAAAATCTATAGTATCTTTTTACACATCCCATAAGTGTGTGTGTGTGTGTGTGTGTGTGTGTGTGTGTGCATGTATACTTACAACAATAGGGTAGGATACAGAAATTAGAAAAGGTACATTGAAGAAGGAAAGGACATTTTTAAAAACTGTGACCTCAGCCCAGAGAGATGTTCTTTGTGTGGCAGGAGAGTGAAATGCGAGCTCCTGACTTTGCTGCTGACCGCAGAACTGTATCCACCTCAGTGGACTCAGACTCTGACTGAACTCTGAACTCAGACTCCAAACTGATCTGTGTAGACCAAGTCTCCAAGTTGACCCTGCACAGACCCAGCTTTGAGGCCTGGCCAGCACCAGTTCAGCTCAGATGAATTCAGCGCCCAAACCCAGCCTTGTAGACCCAGGTTTGCAGACTTTCCTCTAACACTCCGCTCTGGTGCATACACAGATCCAGGTCCAGGCTGTGAGCCTTCATTGTGATATGATTTTATGCAATGAAGTACTACTCTGCCATAAAGAAGGATATGCTTGACACATTTCCAGGAAAATGAATGCACCTTGAGTCCATACTCAACAGAATAAATGGACCTATATGTGTAAATGTCACATTGCTTCTCAGGTGTGAGAAAACAAAAGCATAAATAAAAACCAAAGTATATAATAGGTATTGTAAAATAGGCAGAAAATGTTCAAATGGGGATGGGAACACAGGAGAGGGGAGGGGAAAGGAAAGAAGGGAAAAGAAAAAAAATGAAACAAGATGGGAACGAAGCTTTTGTAACTGCAGAGGGGAGGAGCGGTGGAAGGGAGAGCAGGGCAATGGGAAGGATACGACAGGCTGTACCATGCACCAGTACAGATTCTCTGTGATGCATGTGATCATTGTGTGTATCTAAAAGGTACCAATAAAATCTGATTTGAAAAAAAGAAATGCCTAGCAGGTCGGTAAGGCACAGTGCTGGGGTGTCTGGATAATGACACACACGCTAGCAACTGAGGGGTGAAGACGGACCCTGATGACAGGAACCAATAGGTTTGTAGCCAGAATGGAATCAGAACAAAAAGAATAGAGAATGTGATACCCTGCCTTCTTAGGACAGGCTCTCATGTATTCCAGGCCGCCCTTGAACCTACCATCAACCAGGCTGGCCTTGAACTTGAGGCACTCCTCCTGCACTGGCCTTTTAAGAGCTGGGACTACAGGTGTAGCCACCACTCCCAAATGGAAATGTGCCCGTTTTGAAAACCCCCAGTCTTCCTGATCTCATCTGCCAACTGTTCCCATTCCCCTCTGTCCTTGGTCTCAAGTCTCCAGGTTTGTTAGCCTTCCAAGGTGCTCTCACTGGTGCCCTCCATGGGACATCCAGGCCTTTGGCTTTGGACTGGGGCTGCATCCTTGATGCCTCCTGCTCTGCAGCTTTGGTCTTAGTCTGAACATCTTTTTCATTCTGTGGTCTTCTGCTGGCGCATGATCACTGGGGCTTCTTTCACCTCTGATCTTGTAAGCTACCCAATAAAGCCCCTTGCATAAGTAGACATGGATTTTCTGCTGTCTGTGTTCCTCTAGAGAACCCTAACTAATACACAGAGTTTCCCATGTAACCCTAGATTCCAGGCTCTGCTCAGGCCCCGTCAGTTGCTGTGGACCCAAAACCCAGTCCCACGGCTATGCATCCAGGCTTTAAACCTGCTGTTTCTAATCAGATGTAAGCTTTCTCCATCTGCATCAAACTTCAATACTGCACCAGGGATGCCCGGCTCCAGCTTTATCCCACACAGTCAGGCACGAGGTTGACCTGTGTGGACTCAACTGTCAAAAACTGTAAGCACTAATGAGACACCAGATAACACCGCCTATGGAATCCAGGAGCTAACGCACCCACGCACCCTGACACCTTGCCAGTGTTACTAAATAGGCTCGGTAGAATCTGTGAAAGGCTTTACCCGCCCAAGCCAGCCTTTAATGACTAGAAGAGGGATGCACATCTTCAAATCATGAGCTCAAGCATCACTGATAATCTGGAGGATGAGGAATCGGAAGCATAATTCAAAGTAATCATTTTAAAGTAGGTCAGTGAGCTATAAGAGAATATAGATAAATATATGAAATCAGGAAAAAATACATGAACAAAAATAGAACTTAAAGAGGATAGAATCCATAAAAATGATCAAATAGAAATTCTGTAGCTGAAGAACACAATGACTAAACTTAGAGATTCTGTACTTTCCACTGCATATTTGATCAACAATGCAAAATAACAGATGAGTTGAGAGGCAGCACATGTGAAGACAACTCTCCATACTTCTGTCACAATTTTTCTTGAAACCTAAAATTACTTCAAAAGAAAAAATTAAAAACATTTACAATCCCAGCAAATTACAACTCCAAGTCATTTCGCACTAATGACTTGAAATTTTTTTATCGGTTTTCAATGACTAGTTCAAGACAATAAATACTATTTTGAATGTTTGAAAGAATTATTGGATACTGTGCTTTAATTTTCCAAGTAAATGAAATTGAAAAATTGATATTGATATTTCTGATATATTAATATGAGAATTTGATGGAGACCACGGCAAAGCAGCCATGAGCAGGATTTAAATTAACCAATTGTCTTTGCATGTTCACTTGTGAATCCATCCAAGGCCTACGCTCCCTGTCTGGAAATGGTGGACTCATAGTAAGTGAACCTCTATGAGTCACTAATCCCTACTAGAACCTCAGTGGCAGATGAAGCCAGAAAGCCTCAAAGAATAAGACAAGGCCACAGCCAAGGACACTTAGATCTGATCTCAACTAGATAAAGACTATAGCTTCAGGCATCTTGCTCTGGGGTGGATTAACTTAATACCTTACTCAGAGAAGTCCTTGAGTGGTTCTGCCCTTTTTGAGTACTCACTTCCCTTCTTCTGATAACCATAGGATTGATAGGCCATCCAGAGAAGGTCTTAGTCTTAGCCCTGAGAGAATCTCAGATTCTGTGAGAGGGCTCTGATCCTCTTGGAGCCCTGAAATCATTCCATTTGCCTCTTTTAGTTTAGCTTTCGCCATTCAAGAGATGGTGGACTTAATCAGCCCACAATAACTAAGAGATATTATTAACCTGATTAGAATTAAGCAATTAACAGTGTTGAATTACAGATGCTACATAACAAGTGAATGGAAAGCAGATAGTTACCAATTACAGATGAAGTAAAAAAATCATTCTGTAAAAATTTAATTATATTATAAAATATGGCTCTATTGCAAATAGCACTTGAAAGAGTAGAGGAGACAAAATGTCAAATCCTCTTCTAGTACAGTAGAAATTAATAAATGTTATTCAAAACAAGAAAGCAATATATAGAAATCAAAACACATCATATAGAGATCTTTGATAAATATCAAAGAAACCAGACAAGCATTTAAAGTAACTAAAAACAGTGTAAGAAACGTTAAGAGCATGCCTGTGTCTCAGTTACTTTTCTCATGTTGGTGAGACAAAATACCCAAAGCCCAAATTAAAATGGTAAAGGTTTATTTAGTTCACAGTTTGAAGAAGTTTCAGTCCATACTCAGCTGGCTCCGAGGCAGAGAGGCACATGGCAGAGGGCAACAGTTTATGGTGTTGGAAGACAGCAAGAGAAACCACAGCAAAAGGAGAAGAGCAGAGCGAGCCTTTTTCCCTCCTTTATATTGTATGCAGGCTGCCTGCCCAAGGGTGAGTGTAATTCTCACACCTATAATCCCAGCACTAGATCATGAATCAATCATATACTGTAGAGGCCCGCCCCATGACTGTGAGAGGCTTTGCAGGGCATCCACACCCAAACCATAACAGCCTGAAAATTTTTACTCTAAAAATTCTCTCTATCCTTACCTGAATTACATTTGTTGCTCTCAAAAACTGAAGTACAACTGTCATCTTAGAATCTTTGTGTATTCCCAGACTTCACTGAAGCTTATTTTGTTTTTTTAATATTCAGCTTTCTAGACCACATGTCTTCTTTATTTCCTTATTTTGATATTGAACATCATTAAGTAGTTTCTTGTAAAAGGTTAAAAGTTTTGGTACACTCAGGGAAAAATCTTTTTCTGATTTCACATTTATGATACAAACTCCAAGTCAGAAAACATTACCCTTCAGAATTTCAAAGGCATTTCTGTATTAAACTGCAAATCCTACTAGAGTTGTTGAGAAGTACAAATTCATCTTAATTTCTACTCTTATGTATCCACTTATACTTTTTTCTTTATTCTCTGTGTTTTGAAATTTCATATTAATATATTTTGGGATGAGCCATTTCCTTTCAGTGCTCTAGTCAATCACTGGGACCTTTCAAGATGAAAATCTTTGTTCTTTAGTTCTAGAAAAGTTCACTGAATGTTTTTAAACAATTTCTATTATTTGGATATTGAATCTTCTGACCTGCTGTACTAACTTCCTTAACATTGCATTGGTTGTTTTTCACAAGTATTTTCTCTTTTTTCTACTTTTTAAAAACTCACTTTTCATCACTTCTAATACATTTTAACTTTGCTGTAATATTTATAATTGTCAAAATTCCTTTTTCTTAAAAAGTTCCTCTTTGTAATATTTTTTCTAATAATATTATAAATTTCCTTTTGAGGTTAATATTAATAACTGTCACAGTTTGATAATTCATTTAATCTCTTTTGCCTTCAAATTGTTATGTGCTAATTCATTTGTTACTTCATCTCTTTGGGGATCATTGGCTGTACATTAGAAAGTAATTTGCTAACAATATTTTTGTCTGTGACAATATACATAAAACTTCCCATGCTTAACTTCACTATAATAGATTTAGCTAGACTGTTTCCTCAAAGGAATACTTAATATCAAAATCTTTACCTTTTCTTTCTTTTCATAGGACACATTCAAAGCAAGATATTCTGATCTTGTGCCTGATCAAGTCCGCCCAGAGTTCATTGAGTTGACATCCACAAGACAATAAGCTCCCGATCTTCTGCTGAGAGAGTAAGAAGCAATTGTACATGTGTGCTAAGCAGGAGAGGGAGTCTGGGGGGTAAAATAGTTTCTCCTAAAAGTCCAGAAAATTACCCAAATTTTAGGCTAAAATTGAACTGTATCTTGAATGCTATGCATAGAAATCACCTCTTCAGCCTTTGATAATTCTGCGATATACATCAGACTGCTTCTAGGCTTTCATTACTAGTACCTAAGATAGTTTAACTGTGTCTTCGTCCATTTCCTGTTTCTATAACTGAATAATACTAACTGATTAGTTTACAAATAATGAAATTCATTTTGCTCACTATCCTGAAGGCTGTAGATCAAGGACTGCATCTGACAAAGGCTTCCTGCTGATAGCCACTTTCTGTAGAGTCTTGAGGTGGGACAGGGCGTCGCATGCCAAGAAGGGCCCATCTAAGAGCAGAGCCTGGGGGCTGGGGATTTAGCTCAGCGGTACAGCGCCTGCCTGGCAAGTGCAAGGTTGTGAGTTCAATTCCTGGTATCAGAAAAAATAAGAGAAGATCCTATCTCTGTCACTTTCTCATTGCTGACACAAAAAACCAACACTCACAAGTTAAGGGAGGAAAGGTTTGCTTAGTTCACAGTTTGAAGGAGTTTTAGTCCATCATCAGCTGGCTCCAAGGCAGGGTGGTATGTCAAATGTATCACAGAGGACAAATTCTTCATCGTGGGCATAATGTAGCAAAATAGGCAAGGGACCTTCATAGCATCTTTTTCCCTTTTTTATTTTATCCAGGCTATTCAGGGCAGGTAGAAATCACATCCTTGATCTTAATGCCTTGAGCCTAGCACTGCACCATGAATCAATTCCAGCTTCACACTAGATCCAGCCAGCTCTGAAAACATCCCCACCTAGGACCACATGAGGGTTTAGGGGGACATCTGGACACAAGCCATAACAGAGCCCAAGTGGCTTTTATAACAGGCCACCCCTGGAGATAATCAATTAACCTTTCAATCCATTGGTCCCTCAATGCTTGAATACGTAAGAGCTCTGATTCATGAAGCAATCATTCCCCAAAATTTTTACCTCTCAAATATTAATAACATATGACATTGAAGATTAAGTTTCCAACAAGTGACATTGGTGTAACTCATTCTAATCATGCCACATGGACTTTGCTAAAATGCTATTATCTGATCTTTTGCATCAGGTTCCCCAGTTTGACTGCTCTGTGATTGCATCTCAGTTTGCCACTGTGTCTTCATCCTTTCAAAAATACTTCCTTAGGGCTGGGGTTAACTCAGCAGGTGAGCACTTGCCTAGAGTGCACAGGGCCCTCAGTTTACCTGTCAGTTCCACAATAATTATAAACTGAAATATAAACACTTCCTTAGTTACTGTCTTTTTAGTCAGCATAGAAGGGAGTACATTTGAATTCGTATACAGCCACTATCATCTGAAATCCTCTGAAAGCCTCTGGAAGTCTGAAGTAATTCTGATCATAAAGCATCATTTTGTCTTGTCCTCTGGCATCAGTCATAAGTCCTTATGAGACAAGAAGGAAAAGGCATTAAACTATTATGGACCTTAAAATCACAGAATTAAATGTTATGGCCTCAGGAAAAAATATACTTATAATGCACAAAGAAATATGTGAAAGGTTTTACAAATCCAGGGTGAAATATTATGAGTTGTGCAGAAGTGATGGCTTCGATCTGGTTGTATTAATTGCACTTAGGGCAGCAAATAATGATTGTACAGATAATGATTGTCTATTGAACGAAGCATAACACAATGTTGTTTGTGGGAAGAAAATATGTATAAACTTTGTTCCTTTCACCCACTATACTTCAAATTTTTAAATCATCATAAGAAAGGAAGAGCAGAAAATAATGGGAGATAGGGAATTTTATTTAAGTTTTATAAGTATCTCCATATTAATCTTTAATAATTGTCACCAAGTAGGTATTAAACATACTAAAATACAATAATCATATTTTTCATTATATAAAAGAAGGTTCATGTACACTTATATGTATTCATACATGCATTTTTGCATGAATACTCTGATACATTATACTTTTCAGTGTGTGATTACTTGTTTTTTGGGTTTTTTTTTGTTTTTGTTTGTTTGTTTGTTTGTTTTTCTGGTACCAGGAATTGAACTCACAACCTCACATTTGCCAGGCAGGCTCTGTGCCACTGAGCTAAATCCCCAGCTCCATGATTACTTGTTAATACTCCTAACAAAGGACAAACCAAGAGTATCATTTATGCAGAGATCCTGTTTACATTTCTTTTTTAAATTTTTTTTATTTTAAAGAGAATTGAAAAAAAGAACAACAGCAAAATGCCAACAACATAGACAAAAACAAAACAAAGCAAAAACAATGAGAATAATACAAGGTTGCAGAACAAAATGATAAAGATTAGCAGTGGTTGTTATATTACATATTTTTATCTTCATCAGAGTTGGTCAAATTACCAGATGTAAGGACGCAAGATTAATCAAACCATTAAAGAGAATAAAAAATAAAAACAAAAAAATCATAAATGATACAGAGTTTCACCATCCAAGATGATAGGAATTCAGCAGTGATTGCTATGTTGCATACTGTTGTCTTAAAAGTAGTTGTTCAGATAATTAGATATAAGCATGCAAAATTGGTCAAAAAAAAGAAAGAATGAAAGCAAGCAAGCATTAACTATTCATGTTATAACAAAATTCAATAAACTGAGTTTAAACAGAAACTTTTGCGGTCAGCATTTTAGAGTCTAGAAGTCATGAAATAAAGACATGAAAAAACCCTGCTCTTTCTCAGACTGTTGAGCTCCTTTTCCTACCTTTCCTTGCGTCTTCTGAATAGTGGCCGCGCGTCCTCCCTAGCCCTGCATCTGTAGCGCTGTCATTTTGATGGATGCCATCATATGAAACGCTCCTTGTGTGTCTGTATCTCCACATATTTTCTTGTAAGGACACCAGTTACATCGGATTAAGGCCTACCCTAATAACATCATGCTCACTTGATTATGTATGGCAAACCTTATTTCTAAATAAACTCTCCTTCACAGGTCCTAGGAGATAAGATAAAACCATCACTGAAATGTTTAGGGGACACAACTCAGCCCCTAACAGTCAACCTTCTTGTCTAAAAATATTTATGCCCAATCCCACATGCGAAATACACTCACCTCACTTCTAGTACCAGAAAATGCGTCAGGCAAGGTTCTCCAGGGAAAAGAAAAATTAACAACACGCACACACACACTAAACTTGGAGAAGATGTGGCAGACGTTTCTGTGATGAAACATGAATGAAGAGCTTGTTTTACTCCTCGTGTCCTCAACTAGTTAAAAGTAACTTCTTTTACTTAAAGTCAATGGATTATAAATGTCACTGATATCTACAAAATACCCTCATAACATCTTAACTTGTGTTTGCCCAAATGACAGGGCATAGCTTTTAAAAGTTGATACATAAAATTAACCACCACATATCCAATACTAGAAAGTAGTTATTTTTGACAATTAGTTTTATCAAATATCATTAAAATCTATCAAATACAAATGATGATTTTAGACAATTAAGAAATAAAGATTCCACATATGCAAAATCTGTGAAAAAATCAAACTAATGCATTTACTGTGCTCAAAGGATGTAATGATAACATATGACAATTAATTGTAATTCTATGCAGTAGTGGTAAAATATTTGTGTGAAATTCCAACAAAATAGATCAGTGTCAGGGTTCTGTAAGTAGAAGATGATGATAGAAAATATAAAAAATGATCTTTATTCATGCATTAGAAGACAAGAGAGTAAATATCAATTACCTCAAATTGATAGCTTTAATATAACTTCTCTCAAAAGTCCCGCAAATCTTTTACAGACACAGACACATTATTCTAAAATTTATATGGAAAGGCAGAGAATGTATATAACTAAAATAATTTTGAAAAAGAAGAATAAAGTGATATGATTCAATCTACCAAAAATCAAGATACTTTTTATCTACAGCAATCAAGACTGAATAGTACTGACAATAAGATTGATCCATAGTTCAATGGACCAGAATAATGAACCCAGAAATGGACTGTTACAAACATCCACTGAAAGGTACAGAAGAAATTTAATGGGCAAAGGACAACCTTTCAATAAGGGGCACTGGAATGACTGTGCTTCCATAAATAAACCATTAACCTTGAACAAGGTGCCACACATTGTAACAGTACCACCTCAGTATGAATCTGGGCCTTAAATGTAGACCGTAAAACTACAAGACATATAACAATCATACAGTGTAACCTTGGGATGTAGGAGTAAAAACAAAAATAAATTAGATGGTTAAGTTGGACTTAATCAAAACTAAGATCCTTTGCCCTGATTGCGACTCTTCAGGAAGGTGTAAGAATAAGCTGCAATCTGCAAGAAAATATTTGCTAACCACAAACCAATCAACGGATTAAAAATATGTATTACAGTACAGAGTAGTACATCTCAGGAAAATATACTGACACTTTTAAGGAGAAGTTAAACATGAAAACACCATACAGGACCAAAATTTCACTAACATATTTGTTCTAGAGAAATTAAAATAAAACGTGTTCACACAAAATGGGTATATGTCTTTGACAGCTTCTTATATAGTAGCCCAAACTAGAAACAGTTAAAATGTTAACAGCTAAATGATTTATTCAATATTTATATGCATGAATGGAACTGTCATTTGGCAATAAAAAGGAACAAAACTCACAAAAATAATATTGCGTGAAAGAAAAATTATTTGGATTACCCTTGTAAGCCTAGCTCTACAGGAGGCTGAGGTAGGCAGATCATAAATTTGAGCCCAAATTGGGAAATTTAACTACTTAGCAAGACTCTGTCTCAAAATTTAAAAACTGAAAAGCAAAATAAGTTTAGAGATCTAGCCTGGGCTCAATACCTCCAAAAAAGAAAAAAAGAAAAACTCCCAAGTTTGCAAGGTGTGTCATTTCATTTATATTATAGCTTACAAATGACAAAATTATAGAAGTGGAGAACAGATTAGCAAGCTCTCTGGTGAAGAGGGTCACGGACAAGAGGCCAGTGACCACAACTGTAAAACAGTAGCTTCCATGCATTGGTGTAATTCAACTATAGTTTCATGGGTTATGGTGCCCGAGGCAATGGAGCAAAGAATATACATGGTTTCTCTAAACCATACCTTATAACTGCACGTGAATATAAATTCCCCCAGAATTAGAATTTTAATTAAAATATACTAAATATCTTTTCTGTCGAAAAGGTACTTAAAATGGGAAAAATAATGTATTTAAATACTCAATATATAGTAGTCAATTTTTTCAAGTCAATATTTAGATTCGGTAGAATTACAATCACAGCAAAATGTTCTTATAAAGACAGACTAACTTGAAAAATATGAAAAATGCAGGGACCATAGAAAGCAAAAAGGAAACTGAGGCCTTAGATGACAGGATTTGTAAGCATAACCTTTTCGTTTCTTCCAAACATTAGTTTGTTAGCACACGTGGGCCGTAAACCGTGTTTACCTCACTGGTGGAGCTCCTGCAGATACACGAGCTCCCAGGTGCTTTTCTCCATGACGGCTTCCCTCCAGTCCACCGCCCCGTGCCAGCTCTTGATCCCCTACTGCTTTTACAGAGACCTAGCTCCCTGCTTCCTGTGACCTATTTTTATTTTGCTCTTTATTTTTCCCTCTGGGTTTCGCGTAAGAGAAACCCTTTATTTCACTTCACATTATTATCCCAAGGTGAATCAATTTCCCTGTGAATGACTAAAGTTTCTCTTTCCTTCTGGAAGAGGAGTACCGCTCTGTGAGGGAATTCTGCATTTTCTTTGCCCATTTATCTCTTGATGGACACTTTTACTGGTTCAAAACTGCAATAATTAACATCATGTCATAGAATGGACTAGAGTGCAGTGAGAGACAAATAAAAAATATAACAATCAGAAATGCAGTTATTTTATTTTCAATAAAATTGCCAAAGTAAACTAGTGAGAGAAAAGGTGTTTACCGCAAGGGTGTCATAACTGAACGTCTATATTAAAAAACAAAATAAGTCCCAACTATTATCTCATATGTTCAAAATTTGAGATGGCTCACATATTTTAAAATAAAATTGCATTTTAAACATTTTGATGAAAGCAGAATATTTTCATCATCTGAGTATGGTCAAGAATTTCTTAGAACATAGAGAAACAAAAATAAAGAGAATTTATAAAGGGGATATCACCAAAATTAAAAACATATTGCTGTTGGGCCTAGTGGTTCACACCTGTAATCCCAGCACTCAGGAGGCTGAGGCAGGAGGATTGCTGTGAGTTAGACACCAGTCTGAGCTACATAGTTAGTTCATGGCCAGCCTGAATTAAACCATGTAGTGAGACAGTCTAAAAAATAAAATAAAAATCATCATATGTTGCTAATCACAAGATATTGTTAAGGAAAGGACCAGACAAACCACAAATTGAAAGAAAATATTCACAAAACATAGATCTAACAAAATATTTGTGCCAGTAACAGGGTGACTGGAGATATTCATAAAAATAAATTTATAGTTACTACTGATAAACACATACACAAGTACTTATAAATATATTTCTTTAATTGAATAGTAAAGCAAAAATTCAAGTTTTAGAAAACTGAGCAAAATATTTGAACAAACACTTTATAAGGTAGACATATAAATGATTAATATGAACATGGAAATTTTCTCACACCATTAGGCATTAGAAAATGACAAATTCAAAGCATGTGATGCCACTTCATATGCAAAAGGCTAGTGGAAGTTATAATACATGGCTCACCAAGTGTGTGCAAGGATGTAGAACAAATTAAACTCTCATACATTATTGGTGCAATTGTCAAATGTTACAATAACCTCAGGGAAAACTTTTCCCCAAATTTATTAGAGAGGTAAGCATAAATTAACAAGATGATTCAACAGTTTTGTTTCTAGATATTTTCACAAAAAATTGAAAACCTATATTTAAATATACACAAATACATATTCCGACACACACATAAACAAACATGTATGTACCCCTGAAAGTCTCTCATACATTTTAGCAGCATTATTTATAATAGTTACAATTGGAAACAACATGACACACTTTTGAGCTACACAAGCGTGTAAACTTGCCAAAGCTCTTCTGTTTGTGAACTGGACTTTTTACAATGGATCCTTAGCTTACAAATGTAAATTGTTTATGAAGGCTGTTTGTAATTTAAATTGGTTGTGAGACTATTTTCTTTCCCATAAGAAATAATGGAAAACACCCATAATGTATTCTGAACCTCCAAAGCACCCATTAATTAACATTTTCATAATAAAAAGAGTTGTATAATCTGTGTAGCTTACCAGAAACACCAATAATTTTCCTAGTGTGTTTACCACAAAGTTATAAAGTGTGCCTAGTTCGCCAGAAACAAGTTTCGTACGTACTCACCATCCAAGGTGACCTCTCTGGCTTGCAGCGGGGGGATGAAGTGGAAGCTGGTCATTTTGAAGGACAGCCACCGTGAGAACGCCGGGAATCTGCTCTCGGTGTCCCTGCTCCCCTGGGAGAGCCTCGGTCCTCGGCTCTCTAGGTCTCAAGCTTTTTGGAAGTAAAAGCTGGTCTGAGGTTATCCGTTTCTCTTTTCTTTAGCTCTGTTCTGTAGTGTGACGTGACATTAAGCTAATGAGTGAAACGACTGGCTTTCTCCTCTGCCTGGGAGGTCTTCTGTGCACATGTTTGCAGCTCTGTCCATTCTTTCAGGACTTCGTTTCTCCCAGAACTTCGTTGCACTGATTGCTGACTCCCCTCCTCTCCCAGGGAGCCCCTCAGCTGCCGCTCTCTAGGGCTCAGCCGGAAGTTGCACAAACATGTGCCTCTGGCCTCAGCCTGACACTGATGTACACCTGCGTATGCTTTACTGGCACCGTGAGCCTTTGTTTATAGTCACAGAACTAGCCAGTGTTCAGGCTGCGACTCAAGACCTTGGTTGTAAACTAAATCTAAAATTCTGGTTACAACCCAAATTGTTTGTACGTGAGGCTGGTCACTACTTGGTCCTAACATGTACAATGAACCACGAGTTATGTTTCCTGCAATCCAGATGTTAGCCATAATTTGATTATACTTTTGCCTTCATGCATCAAAATGTTTATAATTTAAATAAAAATTGGCAAGGATTTACATGCCATAAGGAGGTACTTATTTTTTACTTAAATACATATAGCTTATCATATGCTACCTTGAGTATTACACTGATTATGAAGCATGATGAAATCTGTCACTGCATGCTGAATTGGATGAGGAAAATGGACTTAGAAATTTACAAGTAAAATTACAATAAACTAATTT